TGCCAAGGTTGAGAAACACTGGCTGGGGAATTCTGGGAGTTGAAGTCCGGACATCTTCAAGTTGCCAAGGTTGAGAAACACTGGCTGGGGAATTCTGGGAGTTGAAGTCCGGACGTCTTCAAGTGGCCAAGGTTGAGAAACACTGGCTGGGGAATTCTGGGAGTTGAAGTCCGGACGTCTTCAAGTGGCCAAGGTTGAGAAACACTGGCTGGGGAATTCTGGGAGTTGAAGTCCGGACATCTTCAAGTGGCCAAGGTTGAGAAACGCTGGCTGGGGAATTCTGGGAGTTGAAGTCCGGACATCTTCAAGTGGTCAAGGTTGAGAAACACTGTTTAAGAAAACGGAAGCAACTTTGAAAAGAAAGAGAAAGATTGAAAAAAGCAGCTTCTGGAGCCATCAGCTGTTCCGCCGTTTTTATCCCGAGCATGACCTGTAGGAGGCGCGCTCGAGCCACACAGCCAGCCCAGCTCTTGCCCACCAAGGACCGCCTGAGCCACCCCCGGTTTCCCCCCGCCGCCGCGCTAACCTGGCTGCTTGCATGAGCGGGCTCCACCCGTAGTGATTGCGGCTCTGCACCGAGGCCCCCCGCCGCAGCAGGAAGCCCACCAGCTCTTCGTGTCCCCCGGCCGCTGCGAACTGCAGGCCGGTGTTGCCCGCCTCGTCCGTGCAGTCGACTGGCACCGAGCCCGGAGGAATGTCCGCCGCAGCGCCAACCCCACCTCCGCTAGGCGAGCCGCTGCCAGCCTCCGCCGCGGCTTTTTCTTCGGGTCCTGCTAGCAATCGCCGGGCGCCCTCGCAGTCTCCCTGGTCGCAAGCGCGGAGGAGTAACTGGACGCCAGCGGGCACCCCGCACTCCCCCATCGGCGGGCTTGGGCTCCCGCTTCCCGAGCCCGTCCGCGATCTTCCTCCGCTCCGCCCGTGAGAAGGGAGGGAGAAACCCGGCCGGAGCGCCAAGTTCTCCGGAGTTGGGGAAGGGAGGGAATGCACCGCTGAGGCCTCCGACAGGGGGAGGGAGAGAAGGATGGTTTCAATTAATCTGGGAAAGGGAATCGGCTGAGGTCTTCTGCTTGGGACCCCAGAGCTCTGCTTTTTAATTCAGGCACTTAGTGTCAACCCTAAGAAGTTTTCTTTCTCCGCTCCTGCCACAATTGCTTCCTCGGAAACAGGGCAGAAAATTTCACATTTTTAAGATTATTAGGTGATGTGTTTAGGATTTTTAAAGGAGACCTTGAAAAGGCAGAATATTTCTCTGGATGTGAAAAGAAAGAAACGTGTTTTAAAAGACAGAATAGCTGCCTGTAGCTTGCTGCCCATCCTCACTTTGTCAATGGGCCATTAAGAAGGCCATGCTAGTCCCTTTACATAATAAAGAGTTCTCCCCTTCAGCTCCAGGGGATTGGGATTAAGGAATTTTA